TTATGGTTTAAAACGCGAAATATATTAGTTAAACTTATTATTATTATATCGTCTCCCCGTGACCACGACTGCTGCAAAGCAACCGAAATGTCGACCAGTATTTAAACCAATTATTAAATGAGATTAACAGATTTCGCGTTTAAACCGTTAAAGTATTTTATGTATATAATAATTTTCTTTGTAATGTGGAGGAAAACTTCATAGACTTTTGATTTATGTCGCTGATTTGTATTAACCTATTATGAGGTTTCTCTCTTGGCTGAATATTCTATAGTTTAGCTAAAAATTTATGATTTACTATACATAGTATTAGTTACCGGAATTGAAAGAGATAATGTTTAAGTTATGTTCTATTCAGTTAATTGAAATGTGTTATATTAACACCTTGACAATACATAATTAACGTGTCAATATCAATAAATGACTTATCGCCATTTGAGATTCTTTTCACTTAAAATACACTCTGATTGTATACAGAGTGTATTTTTAATTTATTAAACCTTTGTTTAATAAAATAGCTCCGTTTTATTTTACCTCATACTTACAAAGATAAACTATCTACAATCTTTTGTATATAATCTCTTATATATTTTAAATTTGGAAAAGAAAATTACCGAAGTCCAACTTCCTAAACTCGATCGCTGTTTTAATTATTAAGAATCGAGAATATGAAGAAAGCGGAATCAATTTGAATTTCGAAGCAACAGTGAACTAATTAAAAGTGCTTTCTGAGCCCAATCTCGATTTCTAATCAAAAAACAGCAAGAAAACATTATAGGATCTAGGGAAGCCAAAAAGTTTCATTAGCAGAAGCACCCGAGCCTTTGTCATCTAAAAACAAAGATCAGAAACGCGTTCTACTTTTTCTTTTAGACACAGAGAATAGAGGGCTGGCAAAGAGTTTTTACAGCCACAATGAAGCCGTACGACGCTCGAAAATTGTCTACATTATGCACATTGTGTATAATACCGCTGAAAGAATTGTAGAAAACATTTTGGAAAGTGCACAGTGCCGCGGTCCTCGCGAGACGGCGAGCTTGAATATTACAGCGAATAAAAATACCAGTTTTCTTTTGTCGGCAAGGAGACAAAGAAGACCAACAACAATTCTAAAACCAATAATAAAAATATAAAGTTATACGCTGCAATTAAACCGAGGGGTACTTTTAATAAAACATATTTAAAGGTATAACGCGTGCTAACTCAGACAGTAAATAAAAAAATAACTAATACGTTTCATGTTTTAAACCGTTTAAGATCATATCTTATTTTTGGTATTTGCGACTTTGACGAGAAGAAATTTCATACTAATGTAAGTCACAATGCGTAAACTTAATAAATAGTATGACCACGATAATAGCAACTCTGAAAATTGAGCGTCGACTTTTATTCGATCTGTAAAACAAACATAGATTCTATAATATATTTCAATTTTAGCATAAATGTAGCTTAAAAATGTACTAGTTTCATTTTTTATATTTTGTATCTATAATTTATTTGACAATTGCGCTGTATAGTCTATACCTAGTAGAACAAATAAGAAAGTATTTTCCAACGTACTTTTACTTTAAACAAATATAATAAACAGTATATTTATTTTATTCTCTAACATAAGGAAACTGGTGGTCACTGTCTTTTGTTTTAAAGGAACCTGAAATGTATAAACACGAATGTAACAATGTAAGCCTAATCTCATTTAGTATGGATTCTAACTATTCATTAGGTTTGTATAGGAAAACGTATAGCAATATAGTAAATCAATGCTGGGTCCGCCCCCAAACTGGAACCTTTTAGCTTGATCAGTGTCAAATATATTAAGAAAATGCTGAATGTGTGCAAATTTTAATCTATCGACTTCTAAAATTGTATTGTATTTTTTTTTCTAGTTAACTAAAACCTGAGGTGGGTAGTTAAATAAATCAATATACTTATATTGAACGAAAGCGTTTATCTTAGTTTTCGGCGTTAGTATAAGGTGATTTAGTTTCGCTCTTCAAACCGTTAACAATATTGAATGTAGCTTATGCTAATAGTACACATTTAAATAAAACACTTTAAACGGTTAAAAACGGGAAATGTATAAGTCAAACTTATTTACAAATAATTTGGTACCTTAAAATCATTATTATTTTAGGTACCGCCCGATGTTCCGCATGACGGAAGAGGTGGCGCTAGTGTAGTCGTTTTTCTTTCGACATTAGAGACACTCTTCAACTTAGTCTCCTTGTGGATACGGCAATGTATCAGAAACTGCGGGCCGTAGTAAGAACAATTTGTAACTAATACATGTCGCGTTTTAAACCGCAAAAAGTGGTTTGTTTAAATCTGGCACATTAAACTCTAAATGTATACTCGTATAAGCTACATAGAATGCTCAATATTAGGTACTGTATTAATCCTGTGTGAAAAAGTAATTTGACAGTTTTATTCCTTAAAAATACCGACTTGTATCCCATTAATCCTGTTTTTACTACTCGGAATGCTAATTGCCTTTGTAGTGGAACCATTAACGCGCTTGCCAAACAAAGCTTGTAGACAAAGTTACAGTCGTTGCCAAGTTAAAAAAATACACGTTTATTTTCCAATGTTTTTAGACTTTTAGATTAGAGGTACGGCCAGACGTTTGCTGCTATGCACCTAATTTTTTTTCTAAAATTTTAATTTAATTTTGAAAAAGGATTTTTTACGTGGGAAATTTGAAGAAGCGAACTGAAAAGCATATTACAACTTTATCCTACACTTAGGGTTAGCGACTTCGTCCGCATGGATTGGTTCAGCTTTATATATTATTATTATTTTGATGATGATTGATACGTACCCGGGGTCTCGAATACTAACGGGACGTTACGTTATATATTACGACAAAAACCGAAATCATTGGTCCAAAAGTAGCAATGTATGGCTAATGACTAACATGTCGTGTTTTCTATTCCCATTAGTCAACATGTTTAACCTGAAACATAAGTAAAATTAAATTCCATCCAAACAAACCTTCCACAGATGAAGAAGCTGTGAAGTGTAAACACGAGTTTCCCCCTTTTTTAATGTTCAAAGCCAAAGTAACATGATAAAGCAATTTATTTAGATGTTAGAGGGGTGGAATATTGTACTTGTCTGCCTAACAAAAAAAGTAGTCTTGTAATTATGAATTTACGGTGAAATTGCAGCAAAACACCAATGTAGGTATATTAAGTAATAAAAATTACGCAAGTAAAGCTCTGTTGTTAACTCGAATAGTAAACACTAGCTGTGTCAGCCATTTAGTAGCGCGTAGTAGTCATTACATATTTTGGGTATCTATATTTGTTTAAAAATCGAAAATAAATTATATTATAAAACGTGGCGTTGTTGTCGATTTCATATAATACGCGTTTTAAACAGTTAAAGATCTTTTATTTGAATATTAAAATTATTTTAAGAGGAATATTTTGAAGGGCTTCATTCAATTTAGAGCTTGAACGCCTTCATTGTTCTTACTTTCAAGTACTTGTATTTGTTAGTCAAGTTCAAACAGCTACTCAACAACAATTATAACTTCAAGTTAGGAAACACTTAGAAGAGGCTAATGGAATATTTACGTTCAAACATAACACAAATATCTTGAAAGACAATAATTTTCAAACAACAAACAAGCTAAGAGTATTGGGGGCGTTTTTGTTTTTAAGCTAACATAATTAAAACATTAGAGATACAATGCAAAAATAGAATATTGTGAAAACAATTAAGGAGAAACATATATCCTATACAAAATCGACGGTTTGTATAGGATATGTTTATTTTTGCTATGTCAATACAGAAATGGTAACAAGTTGGTACGTTAGGTCACTAGATCCCAAAAACAGCATACCGAGAAACGAAAGGGGGCAGTTCTGGAAGTAACAACACATAACAAAACAGATGGCGCTACCGTAGTAGATTTGACATTTTGACTTTGACATTATGAACACCATCCATCTTTAGTCCCCTGTGACCAAGGCACGGTACTACAAAGCATTTTTGTACGAGAAATCCAACTAAAAACAGAAACAACACAACAGAACACAAAAAAGTGTTTGCCCACAGTGAATACCCACATACGTTCTTAATCGGGCGTTATTTTTAGCTGATATTTAACGTATTTTAATAAACATGTTTATATTGTTTATCAACAGAGGTCGCTTTGTTAAAAAATCGTTATTTGGCAATATTTCCTTAGCCTAATCTAAGCGCATAGTAGATATAGCCCTTCAGCATAGTACCTAAGATAAATTATGTCTAGGGTTGTTATACCCTCTTTCATCGAGGGTGACGCACAAACACGTTCCTCCGCAAGTCAAGTTAGGGAGTACAAATAAAATGGTATTTATATTGATTTAGTTTCAAGTCTCCGACGTACACTACGCGGCGCGAAGGGTCGTTGTATTGCCCCCTTGGGGCAAAACTTCTATGGTTTCCATCTTCGCACGTTTTCCGAGATATGCCGTATATCCTTTCAGGCGGGCTTGCATAATGACGATACAATTTTACCACTTTTGTTTGAACAGAAACAACAAAATTGCTTTGTCGATTTGGATTTACTTCCTTTAATGAGAGCTGATGAAAAAACTTATACTCTGCTATTTTTAACTAATATATTTCGCGTTTCAAACTCATGAAAATATAAAATAAAATGTGAAAAGTGTTTTATACATTAATGTATACGACTACACACTGCTATTTTTAGCAAAAAATATATCATTTTCCGAATTATTATTAAACTCTTAACTAATCCTACTAAACCGAGGAACAATAAAAAAAATACTAATTGCGGTAGGTATGTATGTACAATACTTTTTCACGTCCAAACGGCGTGGCGGGTGTATTTCACGTTTTTCTATCTAGTGGACCTACTATCCAAATCAAAGTTTATATTCGTTATGCGAGACAAAATTATCAGCTCACGTCAGTAGACTCACGATTCCTCGTCGTATCGCACTTGTACTTGTGTTGTTGTGTGTAGTAGTAAAGAAGCATCAGTGATAATGTATAGTGTTTTCGTAACTATAATTGCATTAGCGTATATGCTTTTCGATGTGAATTACTATATACGCGCTGCATGTTTTTATGCTCTAGGAAGATTGACCAAAAAGAAATTTAACGCTAAGAATTGCACTACTATTTACGGTAAGTTTGTTAAGACGAAACAAGTTTTTGTAAAAAATACATGACAGAATTTAAAAATCTAAAATAAATTGAAAAAATGTTCGAATCGGGCAGGACTTGAACCGTCATCGTCACTGTTTCGTGCTGTTGCTCTACCAATTGAGCTACCGAGTCCTACACTTCATCGTCGATTTTTTTCTATTATTAGTGATACATGCACCTCGCGCACCATTTTTTACAATTTATTTTCGATTTTTAAATTATATAGTGCCTCCGCGTGCATGTAAAAAATAATAGGTTTTCAATACATCACATATCATATTTACGCGAGTACACATTTAAATAAAACACTTCTAACGGTTTAAAACGCGGTATGTATTAATTCACTAATTAATAATTTATTTTGACTACAACCCGACGTTTCGGATGCTTGTCACGGTGGGATTAACACCGCTAAACGTGTTTTATTTAAAAAATCATGACTCATATCTCAATTTGTGTGAACTTTGTACAGTCTTAATGTTGTGTTCTAGGCTTCTGTACGACGCAAGATATCGACCTATTTATTAAACATATGAACAACGCTCGTTATTTACGAGAACTGGACTTTGCGAGGTTCTATTTCTATGATATTTCTGGTATATATAAGAAAATTTTAGACGCGAATGGTGCAGTGCTTCAGGGCGCGTCTTCAGTGAGATACAGAAGAACTATACCTATTTTTACTGCATACAAAGTCGAGACAAAGGTTAATATTTTTTATCACCACGTTTGTATGATAATTTATGCAAACTTCGCACGTCTGCTTAATATATTAATTAACATAGAAATTTAATCAAGTAATAAGCTATTATCAGGCTGAAACAAAAAATAATAAAATTTTAGAGAACAAAAATTAAAATTTGATATTTAATTTAATTTTCATATAAGAACAAATAAAATGTCTAATTTCAACTTATATTATTATTAAGTGACTGTATTTTAATATTATAAGACTTGGATATTTGTTATCCATGTATTTATAAGGAAAATTTGCATTATTATCCCGTTTGGTTAATTTATTTTAATTAAGTATGAATTACCTTGAAGTTTTTAACGAGTAGAGCTACAGCATGGACCGCTGTGGATGTCGGTACTAGGCCTACCCGAGTCGTATTTTTTTTAATTTCAATTTATTTTCAGGTAGTATATTGGGAGGATAAAACGCTGTTCTTTGAACATCAATTTATCACCTTCGATGGGTTCGTTCGAGCGGTCGTGTTGTCACGACAAAATCTTGTGAATATTGAAGCGGACGAGCTGATGAAAAATGTCCCAGGAGCGGAGGTTAAACCCGATTGTCCGGATGAAATCAGACATTGGTTAACTTCAATCGAGTTTTCAAGCGCAAAATTAAGAAAAAAGGATTGATACTGTGATATACGAATGTAGTTCATTAAGTTTTTTATTAATTCTTTTAATAAACTACTGAGAAAATTACTCGTACTTGTCTGTTGTTAACAGTATACATTTAACAGTTTGAAACGCGAAATATATGCAACAAATCATCCAAAACGTCAGGTGCTGGTTAAATATAAACTATACATTTCGCAAATTTAAAACCGTCACAAGTGTTTTAAGTGCTAACGTTTTTATCGCTTATTAATAATAATTTATAATTAATCTAGGTCTGTATTGATATTATTTTGCGAGATTTATATTTTTTAAACCTTTGAGCCCAACGCAATATTAGATATGAGAGATAACTGATTCACATTCTTCCATAACAGAGTTAGGGTCAAAGTCCGAAGCGATAAAATTAAAGATAATCAGATATAAAATTATAAACAGACAAAGCTAGATTACAATGTGACATATGTTAATATTAATTGACAAAACGCTTCTTAAACTAATAGGAAATGCTTATTATAACGTAAAGCGATATTTAAATAATAATATTGGTTAACACGGAAGACATGGTCACTACGCTTACGCAAATAGCTGCGATACTGAATTCGCGTTCCCTCTCCGTCTTAAGCAACGATCCATCAGAACCATTGGCTTTAACCCCGGTTTATTTCTTAGTATTAACGCCGTTAAAATCATTACCAACTCTTGACGTATTGGCCAGTTCTTTAAAACAACGGAAGCAACTAATTTATCAATTAGTAGTTTTATTTAGGAATCGATAGAAGGTTGAATACCTGAGTTCGTTGCAGGTTCGTGACAAATGGACTACATACAAGTGGGTACTGTAGTCTTGTTGAACGTCGGATAACAGCGTTACCTTGGATTGGCCTATCAGTATCATTAAAGCAACTTTCCCCGTGGTTTAAGTGGTTTGAGATCTTTGTTGAGAGATGGTTGTATTTGATTCGATTAATTGATCATAATACTTTCAATCATGTTGAAAGGACTTAGTCCCTTCAACCCGGGGGCTATGGTTGGGCTATTTCGTACTTCGGGACTGGATTTGGTTGAACTAGGCAACAGCTATACAAAACGACCTTCCATGTCCTTTAAGTCCTTCCAACCAATAGCTTACCACTCCTGCCCTCGCACCGCACGCAAGCAGTGATGACAGGCCTAGCAGAATTAGGTCAGTTTCCGGACTCCGCGCGGGTCGTTGACACCACTTAACTAATTACAAGTGTGGGAAACTTGAAGAACTAATTCTATTCGGTGAGTCCTTATTATCTTCCTTAATTTTATCTTATTCCCCTATTGCCTAATTAATTAGCCATTTTTGGGTGCGTAATAGTTTCATTGAGGGTGATCTAAAGTTTTATTTTTCGTATTTCAAAAAGTTTATAACGTTACCAGCGCGATACAATGGGGTTTGGAGGAAACCGCTCTTAAAATGATAAAAGGATTCAGTACAGTTTAAATGAGTCATTCGTAACTGAAACTTGCGATGAAAGAAGCGACGAGTTTTTTGCCAACTCTTCTTGTTCGCCCTACGCCATTGATTTAAGAACAACAGTTCAATCAATCAATTCACCAACATGTAAATTTAGTTTTTTTAATTATTTTTACGTCATTCACAATTGTTCATCTAGTTAACTACATTCATAAATAATGTTTGTTTTGATTTAAAACTGTGTGTCTTCGGGCATTCGATCTCTGAGCGACATTTCAGTATGTTACCATTTCTTACTTTTAGCACTTACCTGATATTATTAGGATGACTAAGCTGTAATATGATAGGCAATTAGGGGACATTGTAGGGTGTCATGTGTTGTGTACATGCTTTAATTTTCTGCTTAGTACCTTCATCGTCGCATATTGCTTGCTTGCAAATGGTAACAAAATGTCATAATTTTGGGCGAAAGCTAATACATATATCTTTTTTTTATGACAGAAGAACCGACAAAGCGGACTCGGTAGGTACAATACCGCAGCCATATAACATTTCAACAAGATGCGCTCTCGACCTATTTATGGGATTTGGATATTTGAAAATCTGAAGCCTGAATCTGACTGAAGCCGAAACGCGATTAATCTTGACAACATTTTTATCTGTGGACAGTGTTTAGTGACCCGGATGTAAATTTCGGCATTCCTAATTCCCGTTTAATCACCGGGTGTAACGAAGTCCAACATGTTACAGAAAAATATAAATTGATTAGAAATAGGTTGGATCATATGGGGATCTACCCCACGACCCATTGATTATTAACAATACATTGCTTCCGTAACACTAACTTCTGTCGAACCGAATCCGTCATACATAGAAAAATCAATCAACTAAACCCACAATAGCACATAAAACGCAATAAAAACGGTGACCGTACTCAAAAAGAACATTCACATTTATTTGAGACAAAAAAGATCTCTGTTAAAACTTTATGAATGTCATAAAACGCGATCGTCGCCTATTCAACGGACGATACTATCGAGACCTTTTAATGGCTATGGTAGTAATGTACTTATTGGATTGGAATTTATGGATAGTTTCAAAATACTACCAGAACTTGGTATATTTTATAGAAAACTAGTTGATCCTACAAACTTGGTAACTCCTAACAGTTTGTTTATAAGTGTTGTTAATGAAAAAGTCATAAAAATAAAACTAAATAAATTTTCTACAATGAACCAGAAATTTCAAAAATGTGAAATTGTAATTTTTGAAATTTCTGGTTCATTGTAGAAAAGATATGTCAACAATGGTATTGCCTTCTCAGACCTTCTTCACAAAGTAATAGTATTAAGGTCAAATTGAATCCGATTATTGGATTTTTCCAGGCACTTTTAAATAAAAAAAGAGTAAGAACTGTTTTCATACTTCAAGCAATATTTAATTTATTAAGAGTGAATAAAATGTAAACGAATTGAAATAATACAATAATTTCGCATTGGTTATAAAATATGGTATGTATTTACGCAAGTAGTACACATAAAAAAAAGGTTTTAACGGTTTAAAGCGCGACATGTATTATTTAACTTATTTACAATTTATGTAAAATACGGCCCGACGTTCGAATGCTTTGAGGCAGCCTTATTTACAATAAGTTAACTAATACATTTCGCGTTTCAAACCGCGAAAGTGTTTTATTTAGATTACTTAATGAATTTTAAGAAATCTATGTTTTGTACTTTGTGTGGCAGTGTGTTTGTGGTACTTCATAATTATCTTTTACGATTCTTTTTACATCTTCATAGTCACGTTTGCTCGATTACGTAATTTAAATAAAACATACACCTATTTCAATACTGTCTGTAATTTACGCGAGTAGTACATATTTAAATAAAACGCTGTAACGGTTTAAAACACGATATATATTAGTTTTTTAAACCCGGCCCGACGTTTCGCTCTTCCGAAACACGCTCCGTATTTTAAACTGTATACCTTTTCAGCGAATACCGCAGCATATTGAGAACGTGTAACTTTTTTTTATTGTTGAATCAAATTTGTAAAACATTATCTAGCGGTTAATTGTAAGTTAACATTTTAATCGATGTTTCAATTAAATCTTATTATAAATATCAATATTTGAGTAATGAGTAACTTGAGTTTAATAGCGAGAAAATAATGATCCCATCATACAAACAGAAGAATCATGTAATTGAATTGTCTGTACTTTGGAGGTTTTCTTAGAAGTTGGTAATTTAGTAAAGGTGATCGTAAGCCTACCGACCCGCACTGGATATAGGACACCTGTGGCTAGTTGTGGGATTGTAGAGGATCCAACGCAATTTTTCTGTTTTCAGAAAATTACATGAAATTGGGTCAAAGTATAATTATAAAATTGCACTTAAAAGTTTAACTGTACCTACTCATCTACCTATCATAACAGAAAATCTTTTGACAGTTATATAATTTTCTTAGGAGCTCCTTGAAAGTTTAATTAAATTCTTTCCTTGTTTCCATCGTAACGATAATATACCTGCAACAAATGAAACATTTTATGAGAAAAATATGTATGTTCGGCACAGACTAACGGAAAATTATGAAAACCAAACCAAACGTGTGAAAACTTTAATATTTTTCACATATATTGCACATGATGGCACTACATTAAATAAAATCGATTATAAATATATAAAAAAACGTTGCATTGCGCGCAAGTTGCATGTAACAATAGATTGAAGCGACGCTGACGTGTAGGACTCGGTAGCTGAATTCGTTAGAGGAACAGCAGGAAACTCTGTGGATGCCGGTTCAAATCCTGCCCGAGTCGAAGTGCAAGATCTAAAGAAGTTTACACCGTTTTTACGAATAAATGAAAATATCTTATTACTAAAGAATCCCTGACATTGATCACGACCTCGTTTGATTCGTATAAATTTATGCGGAGGCAATTTGAACAAAAAAACCTCGGCGTGGCAAACTCTCCATGGAATTTTCCACGTTGTAAAAATTTCGCGGAAGCCCCTATCGCGAAAGAAAATGAGCTTTTAATACGAGAAAATTGCAGAATCTCGCTTCTCAAACAAGATGTAAGGGCGCTTTGCATCTTGATACCCAATTAAAGTTAAGATGAAAACAATGAGACTTAAGTCGCTATATACTTATTCGCTTAGAAATTTCATTTACATAATACACTTTTAACGGTTTAGAACGCGAAACTCTATATTTACAATTTCTTTTTAATGCAGCCACTTCGGATGTTTTGAAGCAGCCTTGGTGAAACCCAATTTGGTGTACTTATTTAAAGTTTACTTAAAAATTAAACACAATAAATTTAAAGGAACTACCAATTCTCTGATTATATACGCTCTGGTCCCGCATTTATTGTAACATTTTCACACTACTGCAGATGATGGCACAATAAATTAAAAATCGATTTTAGATTAAAAAATAATACGCAAGTGTTAAGATTTAAATTACGCTGCCCTGTAGGTACATGCATCAATTGGATGAAAACAAGTAGCGATGACGTGTAAGACACCGTAGCTCAGGTGGTTAGAGCGACAGAAGTTAAAGCTGT